CAACATATTGTATTTGGTTACTACACATAAAATAATTTTTATCTTTCTGCTACATCATTTGGCAGCAAATACGAAAAGCTTAATAGACAAACCAAATAATTAATTTACATTTGTAGATTCTCGAGACTCAAACCTCATCCAGAGCATTTGCCATTCCTGCTATCTGTACCAGTCTTCCTCCAAATCGCCACTATGGCTGATCTCTTTCTAGTCAATGAAGCCGCAAGCCAAATTACCCTCAAAAAAGGCCCTCCCTGCCAGGCACGGTGGCTCACACCTGTAATCCCAGCACTTTGGGAGGCCGAGGTGGGTGGATCACGAAGTCAGGAGAAGGAAACCATCCTGGTCAACATGGTGAAACCCTACCTCTTTTTTTTAAAGGCCCTCCCTAACCACTCAATCTAAATAAAAATCACTTCTATCCATGCCATATTACATGCTCCTGTTTTCTTCACAGCACTTACCACTACCTGAAACCATTCTGTTTATTATCTTCCCCCAAACACAACAGAATGTCAGCTCCATGAAGGCAGAGTGCCTTCACTGAAGACGAGTGACAGTGCCTACAACATGAGACATTCAATACCTGTAACGACATAATAATGCAGTATGTAAGCTCAGCTAAATATCGGGGGTCTTTTTGTTGTTTTCTTTTGTTTTGTTTTTTCGAGACAGAGTTTTACTCTGTCACCCAGGCTGGAGTGCAGTGCACTTAGCTCACTGCAACCGCCACTTCCCAAGTTCAAGCCATTACACCTCAGCCTCCCGAGTAGCTGGGATTACAGGCGTGTGCCACCACCACACCCTGCTAAATTTTGTATTTTTTTTTTTTAGTAGAGACAGAGTTTCACCATGTTGGCCTGCCTGGTCTGGAACTCCTGACCTCGTGATCTGTCTGCCTTTGCTTCCCAAAGTGCTGGAATTACAGGTGTGAGCCAGGGCAACTAGTCTCAGATAAGTATTTGTCTTTAAACATTTGTAATTCACTCCTCATGTAATATATAAATTGGGTACTTGTAGAAAACTGGGCCAGCTGTTACCAATCATCTGTAGGATGTAGGAAAGAAAAAAAACAGAGTCCAGTATAAGATATTCAAATATAACTCTGGACTTTTACTGAACAATAATCACAGGCTTCTGAAAAATTATTCGGGACAATTTTTAAAATGTTATCAGGAGTAATGAAAAAAAATCTTAGTACCATGTGAAAGCTGTTAAAGCTTGAGTACTTTACATCTACAATGCAACAGCAATAGCCATGATATGCGGAACAACAATCAGGTTTTTTGGTTTGTCTTGAAACAGCCTTCCTCTGTCGCCCAGACTGGACTGCAGTGAGTGGCATGATCTCAGCTCACTGCAACCCCCACCTCCCAGATTCAAGCCATCCTCCTGCCTCCGCTTCCCAAGCAGCTGGGACTACAGGCACACACCACCACGCACGGCTAATTTTTTGTATTTTCAGTAGAGATGCGGTTTCACCATGGTGGCCAGGCTAGTGGAACTCCTGACCTCAAGTGATCTGCCTGCCTTGGCCTCCCAAAGTGCTGGGATTACAGGGGTGAGCCACCATGCCTGGCCGACAGTTTCATCATAGGTGTTATCCATATACCTATCATGAGGGAATTGATGCTTTCAGTACCAAAAACCTACCTAGATACACAAACCATTAATTTGGAACCTAGAGAAAACCAGTTATCTATTCTACAGTTCTCAAGTAAACAGGGAGAGCTGAAGCCCAAGGAGGATTAACAATCAACTGGGAGATCTTACGTAGAGCAAGCAAAGATAGATCTAAAATCTAGATCTCCTGTCTCTAGCCCTAAGATTCACAGGATAATGTTACCCATAGAATGTTAATGCCAAGTTACAACATATTTAACTGCTATCAATTTTTAGATTGTCTCTTTTATTTCCTATTTAAGTCTTAGCCCAAAGGGGGGAGAAAAACTCAAAAGAAGAGTTTTTCACATATAAGCATGCCTTAAGTAAAGCATGATACAGAAATTCCTTTTGAAACTACAACAATAAAAGAAACATCTAAAAATCTAAACGGTTTGATTCAATTAGTTTCTTTCACATTTTAAATTTTAAAGTAAAATAACTACTTAGGAGTATCTGATAAGTGACTATACCTTGGCCTTATACAAGCAAGGAGCTGTTCCGTATACATCAGTATAGCTCCCTCTCAATAATCTGTAGAAATGGAGCACCAATGAGAAATTTGTTAAGGTGTAACCTCTGCTGTAATGCATTTTTCACCAAAACGAAGTCACTTTGTTATACCTTTCTTCAAAAACCAACTCTCTTTCTGGTGAAACAACTACCAAGCAAGTGGTAAACTGACACCAAACAAAAGTTAAAGTGACAGAAACACCTACACACGACACAGCACCCATGATAAGCAAGGAGAGACTCACTCTTCCTACTTTTTCCCATAATATTGTTCAGACCAATTTATAAACACCCTCACCAATTCTTACAATACTTTTGTGAGTCCTTGGTCACAACGAGCAGGAGAGAGATGATAAAGTCATTTGTCCAAGGTTAAACGACAAGAAAGTACAATAAATCAAGTCTTTAAAAAAAAAAATCAATTGAAGAGTACTTTAAAAGGCCTTGCTTCTTATCCATCTGTTTTACCTCACAAATATAATCAAAGACTAGGGTGAAACAATGTGGCTTATACTGAAATGAAGACGTTTATGAAAACACATACAGCAACAAAGTATCAAAAGTAACCTTTACTGTAAGTTCAGTGTTACAGAACTTGTGTGTGGTATTCTTAAAATCACATTCAAGCATTTACAAGTATGTCTCTCTCAGACACACACACACACACACACAAATGGGAAAGGAAATGGAACCTTAGCTTATCTTTTTCCCAGTTGATTCTTTTGGTTGAAGAGGTCCCTAAAACAAGAAAATTACAGGTAAAATACCAAATGAAATAAAGTTTAGATTAAGTCAGGTTCGAAAGCTACAGGAACTCCTACAAAACGAAGTCCGTGTCAGCCGGCATCTTACCATTCAAGAGAATCCTAAATTAATGCCCACGTAAATCAAGAAACAGGAAAGCTTCCAACAATACAATGGAGTCACCCCACACAGCACACACGAACAGACTGAACGAATACCCTACACTTCCTGGTATTTTTGGAATATCAAAACTTGCACTCAGGTTGAGCAATACCCGTCTGCAGAGATCTACTATAACCTATTTAAGAGCTGCTGTGACAAATCTGCTTCCGCAGCGCCGGGCAGACGTTCCCGCGACGGCACCCCCCACTGACTCGGATCAATTATCCGAGGACAAAAGTAAAAACACGAAGCTTCCTTCTAAACGACCAACGAGCCAACCCCGTACCGAATCCGACGCGTCCGTGTCCCAGCTGTTCCGGGGACTACGTTTCCCCGGCCACGGCAGCAGCGGGCGACACCGCGGCCGTCAGGGCCACCGAGCGCCCCGCAAGTCCCCGGGCCCGGGTTCCCTGCAGCACTCCATTGTCACAGCGCACTCCCACGCCCCGGTCCTCAGCCCCCATCCGGAGACTCCGGGCACAGTCGGGAAGAGGGAGAGGCGTCCCCTCACCCACGCTCCCTTCCCTGCGGGCTGTGGGTGTGTCGGCGGACGGACGCCTCGCCCGAACGCGGGACGTCCGCGGGGACGCAGAGCCTCGGTCCCCGCCGCGCCGGCGAGAAGCGGCCGCTCGCCGACCCCAGCCTTCCGCGGCCGCAGCCCTTCCTCTTTCTCCGCTCCGGCCCGGCCCCTCCCGCGCGGCGCGCACGCGCGGCCTCCAGCGCATCCCCTCCCCCCTGCCCCCCTCACCTTAGTCATGAGCCGCCCCCCAGCTCCTCCGGGGTCCGGGGATCAGTGACCCGGGAGGGAAGACAGAGGCGTAACGCGTGACGAGCGCGGCGCCGACAGCCGGCGATGTGCGCCCCAGACGTCGGCCTAACAGGCCCGGAGAGTCAGGAGCAGTGTCTGTCACCGCCACCAAAGCCGGACGTGCGGCAGCGCCTGGACTCGGCCCAGCTGGCCCGGCGTGGGCTCACGATGCCGGATTCGGTCCCGCAGGGGCTCCTCCTCGGAAGCTGCGGGCGTTTCTGCGCTGCGCAGACCGAACGCCTCCCCGCCGCCGCCGCCGCCGCTCCCCGGCCGCCGCCGCCTAACCAATTCCTACCCCACCGAGGGGAGCACGACACTAGGGGCCTTTACGACAGTCCGGAAAGTGAGGCGGCAGTAGCCTTCACGCCTCCAGTAACATCTGTCTGTTTCTGCGCGTGCCCGAGTCCCGTCTCTCAGCGCCCCGCCCCCTCGGCCCCGGCCCTCCCCCTTTGTACCGCTTTCATCAGTCTCCTGGCGAAACTGAACAGTGTCACGAAGCCCACTATTTAATTTTATTTGGCGATTACGCGTTCAACATTGAATCCAAATCCTGACTACACCCTGATTCGTCTTTTTCTAACTAAAAAGTTAACCAGCTACAGAATGACTGACACGTGTAAACAAACACATGATGGGGTTAGTGTCCTTCACGATGAATGATGTCCGTATCATATGCGCTAAGGACATAAAGATCACCGCACCGCACTGTTAAAACGAATTTGCTTCCGGAATCAAGTCAAAAGTGGTAAGAGATATCCTGCTAACTCTGGCTGTACAATCGCATAAGCTGCCGTGTTTATTTTATAAAAGTCAGTAGATCACAAATGCTTCATTATAGGCACTAGGCGGATACAGAGAGAATGGGCTTTAGAGTCCATCAGACAGACTTCCTTTCAAAAATCTAGTTCTTGGATTTATGAGACCCTTATAAATCTTAGTTTCCTCCTCTATAAATTGAGATAACATATTTACCTAAAAAGCTTCTTGTTAGATTAAATGAGACAATTAATAGAATGCTCTGAACATTACTTGACAATGAGGTGTTGACGAAACATTAACACCCCCCCCCCGTGCCACCAACTTATCTGTTTCAGTGCCTTTTTGTGCTCACTCATATTCTCCACGTCGTTCAGAAAACAAATGATTCTGGCCGGGCGCCGTGGCTCATGACGTAATCCCAGAACTTTAGGAGACCGAGGCGGGTGGATTATCTGAGGTCGGGAGTTCAAGACCAGCCTGCCCAACATGGCGAAACCCCGTCTCTACGAAAAATACAAACTTCTGACGGGCGTGGTGGTGGACGCCTGTAATCCCAGCTACTCGGGAGGCTGAGGCAAGAGAATGGCTTGAGCCCAGGAGGCAGACGTTGCGGTGAGCGGAGATCCTTCTATTGCACTCCAGCCTGGGCGACAGAGCAAGACTCTGTCTCCAAAAGAAAAAAAAACACAAATGATTTTTCAATTACAATAATAATAAGGATAGCAGATTGTGTGGAGAAACTAAAAGAGCATTCGACTAGGGTTTTCCTCAATCCTCCTATTTTTTTCACTTTTGCCTGGATTATCTTATCTTCTCCCGTGGCTTTAACTGTTACCGCCTCACGACTTCTCAAACCTGTATTTCCAGCTCTACCCTTTTTTCTAAAGCTTTTGACCTGTGCTTTTCAATTAGGTAGGCTGCTGAGCACTTAAAATGTGGCTAGACTCCCCCCTCTTCTCCCTGTCCCTTCTCCTTTTCCTTTTCCCTCTCCCTTCCTCAAAAGGATAAGAAAAAGCAGTGAGTACAAATTGAGAAGTGCTTTAACTGAAAAATACACATCGAATTTCAAAGGTATCATACAAAAAAAGACTGTGAAAAAATCTCAGTACGTTCTAATATTTACAATATGTTGAAATAATATTTTGGATATCTTGGGTTAAATCAGTGGTTCTGTTTTTTTAAATTTTATTTTATTTTGAGTCAGTGGTTCTGAAGCTGGGAGGGTTTAGCAACATCCAGAGACACTGTTGATTGTTACAACTCAGGGAGGAGGGGTGTGGCTACTGGCATCTTTCCACTAGAATGGACGGTAGGGATGCTGGCCTCTCCACAACAAAGAATTATTTGGCCCAAAATGTTAATAATGCTGTTGAGAAACCCTGGGTAAAATAAGAGGGTGAGGCCTCAAACCCTATTGGGATGCTGAAGGAAAAGAGTCAGTAGAAAAAAAGAGTGGTGCTGACCAGGCATGGTGGCTCAAGCCTGTAATCCCAGCACTTTGGGAGGCCGAGGCGGGTGGATCACGAGGTCAAGAGATCGAGACCATCCTGGTCAACAAGGTGAAACCCCATCTCTACTAAAAATACAAAAATTAGCTGGGCATGGTGGCGCGTGCCTGTAATCCCAGCGACTCAGGAGGCTGAGGCAGGAGAATTGCCTGATCCCAGGAGGCAGAGGTTGCGGTGAGGCGAGGTCGCGCCATTGCACTCCAGCCTGGGTAACAAGAGCGAAACTCCGTCTCAAAAAAAGAAAAAGAAAATAAAGGGATGCTCAATGGAAAAAAACACCTATAGAGGCAGAGGAGATGAGATTCGAAGCTCAGATGGAAAGTTAGCCTCGGATAGGAGAAGGGATAGCCTTTGCACTGAAACAGGTGAGAAGGAAGAAGTGATACTACAGTTTAGGTATGTTACCTTCAGGAGGCAAGTCGAGGGCTTGTTCACTGAATGATCTTGACTTCTCTGTGAAACATGACATAGGGCCATCTACTGAGAGATGAGGTTCGGGAAATACTGGGTGGAGAATAACTGGAAGAGATTTTAAAAATCAGAGCAGTCACTAACATAATGGGCAAAAGGGCAACAATCAAAGCTGAGAGCAGAAGAGGAGTGAGGTTGAAAAGACAGGGGCTATGCAGCTGTATTTGGAGGAATAATGGTCCATTATAGGGGTGAGAGACAGCTCTCACCTGAATGACACACAATTTTCTGATTTCTATGCTTCTGCTTCCACCACTGTCACCACACCACCCCAAACTCAGCCTTAAGACACAATCAGAGCATGGCAGAAACTGACTAGACATTAAAATGCTTAAAATCTTTCAATGACCTCGGTCACCTTCAAGTTAAAATCCTTAACATGGCAAATAAAGCCCTTCAAAATTCATATCCTTCAGTACCACTTCATAGCAGCCCTAGCTCCCATCCTGTCCCCTGACCCTCCCTCGGCCTCAGTGGACTCCTCAAACTTCTTGTAGTTCTCCCAGAAAAAAATACATATGTATTATTCCTACATAACTATCAATTTTCTCCCTGAAGCTGAAAAACCTGATCGCATTTGTACAATCACTTCTTCCCTCTCATGTGTTTCAATGGAAAGATGATCCCTACTCCTATCCAAGGCTAATTCTTCCATGTGAGCTTTGGGTATCATTTCCTCTAACTCCACAGGAACTTTCCTCAACTAAGCACCTCTTTATTTCCATGATCTTTCTTCTTTTTCTACTGTTTCTCACCCTTCAGAATTCCAATAAGGTTCAAGACTCACCCGATCTTAACTCCATATTCTTCTAGACGTATGTCTTTTTTTTTCCATCACCCTGCCTTTGCACAGTTATTGTCTCAAATTCACCCGCCTCCTCCACGTTTCCCACCCATACTTTATCTGCTTAACAAACTCTTATTCATCCCTCCAAGCCCTCATCCATGAAGCATTTCCTTACCTCTCTCCCCACCCCTTGAAATGGACTTAATCCAGTTTTGGTACTCTCTACAGTCTTTAAGTATACATCTAAGGATTATGATTATTTACATACATACCTGTCTCAAAACTTAAAATCAGAGAAAATGTCTTTCTCTCGAGGTCGGGCGCGGTGGCTCACGCCTGTAATCCCAGCACTTTGGGAGGCCAAGGAGGGCGGATCACAAGGTCAAGAGATCGAGACCATCCTGGCCAACATGGTGAAACCCCGTCTCTACTAAAAAAATATACAAAAATTAGCTGGGCATGGTGGCAGGCGCCTGTAGTCCCAGCTACTCAGGAGGCTGAGGCAGGCAAATTGCTTGAACCCGGGAGGCAGAGGTTGCAGTGAGCCGAGATCCAACCTGGTGCCTGGCGACAGAGCGAGACCCTGTCTCAAAAAAAAAAAAAAAAGTCTGTCATTAGTAGAAACATAGCACTCAATAAATATTTACTGAGTTGTACTGAATAAGGAGATTGGGATTCTAATCTCAATTTTGCCACAAGAAACCAGAAATCCTTAATCAAATCACTTTAAATATCTGAAAATTAATTTTACTCACGTGTGGAAGATCAAGTTTATCCAAATCCACTCCAAACCAAATTCTGCCTTCCTGAAATTGCAGCCAAATAATGTTTACCAAATTAGTCTGCATATATGGGCCAGCAGCATCTAACTATCAGCCTGGCAAGAATTCGAGGAGTTTGATTTAAACATGGAAATACCGGGCTGAATTAATGAGTCACCTGCAATAAAGAGGAATAAGAGAATTTCTACAAACTACCAAAGTCGGAAGGAAAGACTGGGATGCCCGTCAACTATTTCATACTTCACAACTACATAAAGGCTGCAAGTGAGAGTAACTAATTACGTAGTCACTTCTGGGAGCTCTTTGGAAGAAACGGAGAAAAGGTTTAAGATTTAATAGAAGAGTTAGGAAGATCTTGGGAAATTCTTGAAAGTACTTAGTGAATCTTTTCTTTAGATATAAAGCTTTGGAAATAATTGAAAGTCACTCAGAGGTGAACTGGTCAGAGTACTTAGTGATTCACAATATTTTCCTTTCTTGTTGGCATAAGAAGATATCAGTGGAACTTGACACTGAAAGAAAAATGCTATAGCCGAGTGCAGTGGCTCACACCTGTAATCCCAGTAATTTGGGAGGCCAAGGTGGGCGGTTTACCTGAGGTCAGGAGTTTGAGACTAGCCTGGCCAACATGGTGAAACCCTGTCTCTACTATAAATACAAAATTAGCCAAGTGTGATGGTGCATGCCTGTAATCCCAGCTACTCAGGAGGCTAAGGCAGGAGAATCGCTTGAACATGGGAGGCAGAGATTTCAGTGAGCCAAGATCACCATTGCACTCCAGCCTGGGCAACAAGAGCGAAACTCCGTCTCAAAAAAAAAAGAAAAAGAAAAATGCTTTAGACTACATAACTGCTGATTTAGTTAAGGTAGTATAGCTCCTCGTTAAGATTTTCTATATAGACTGGGTGTGGTGGCTTATGCCTGTGATCCCACCACTTTGGGAGGCTGAGGAGCGCAAATCACCTGAGGACAAGAGTTTGAGACCAGCCTCGCCAACATAGTAAAACCCTGTCTTTAATAAAAATACAAAAATTATCTGGGCATGGTGGTGAGAACCTGTAATCTCAGCTACTCGATAGTCTGAGGCTGAGGCAGAAAAATCGCCTGAGCCCAGGAGGTGGAGTTTGCAGTGAGCTGAGATCGTGCCACTGCACTCCAGCCTGGGCAACAGAACAAGACTCCATCTCAAAAAACATTTATTTACATAAAAAATGTCAGTTCACGCTGCTCTGCAACCTAGCTGGGAGCCCCGCGCCCAGCCCCGCCCCCGCCGACCTGTAGGGCCCTCGTCCAGCCCACCCTGACAGCCAGGGCGCTGCTGCCGTCTAGGGAAGAGCCCGGGCCCCTTCCAGGGAGGGGCAAACCCTGAAGACGCCCCTGCCCCCTCCAGAGAGCGAGGAGGGGGCCTGAGATTGGACCTGGGGCTGCCTGACTTCAGAAGTGGTCTCGGTACGGGTGACCGGGGCTTGTTTGTATCTGTAAATAGCCATGATACTAACTTTCTTCCCGTCTGTGCAGCAGGGGCCCCCGGGGGCAGCTAGGAGGTCCTCCCCTCTCTTCACCACCCCCTGCTGCCCCCTCCCGGAGTGGGGTTTGGGGGAGTGGAGTGGGCTTCTGAGAGCTGGCCCAGGGAAGGCACCCCGTGCCCAGTACCTGCAGGTTGGAATGAAGTGTGCAGACAGCCATAGAGAAGCCCGGGGTTGACACGGCCCCTGCCTCTCCCCACCCTACCCCACCCCACCCCACCCCACCCCAGGCCATGGGGGTAGTTCAGGGAAACGGGTACCGCCCGGCCGCTCCCCACTCGGGTACTCTATCTCAGGTGTCCACAGGTTCTCCCCACGGTAGGGGCTGCCCGGCCCCCCAAACCTCGAGGGTAGAGCTGGGATCGGGAGGCGTTAGGATGCCCGGAGGGGCTGCAGGTCTCGCTTCTGAGACCTGGGATGGGAGGGGGGAACAGTGGATTCTTCCAAAGAACGTCTGATTCACTGGGGTAGGGAGCGGGAGGTGGACATCGGGGTGGAAGGGAAGGCCGGCTTATTTATTTCTCGCTCTCCTCGGGGGTGGGGCCCCAGCTCCCCCGTCTGGGTGGGTGGATGGATGTTAGAGAGGCTGCCGGGGAGGCTGGCACCGGGCCTGGCCCTCCTGTCGCTGCCGCCGACCTTGGCCTTTGCGGCATCATGTGACAATCAACTCTCCTTTCCCGAAGCCTGCTGCCGTGGGGCCGCACTGCCCTTCCTGGCCTGCAGGTGGGGCCGTAGAGCCCATGCCCGCCGGGGCTACTCGCTCTTCTGGGCCTGTGCTGCAGCCGGGCCGGTCCCGCTCCCCCGACGTCCCCTCCTTCTCCTGGGTGCCTGGAAGAGGTGGGCTGTGGCCGGTGGTCGAGGTCTGCCTCGTGGACTGGAAGCAAAGGGCTGGCTGTGCGGTCCCCTGGGGTAGCTCGTTGTTGTTGTTGTTTTTTTTCTGCACCTGGTAGAATATTTTTTCAGGCATGGATTTCTTTCTTCTGGGCCCCCGTGGGTGGGTGGTCCGGCATCCTCAGGGGGTGTGTGGGGGGGTGTCTCTGAGCTGAACTTGGGTGGGGTGGGGACTTGTCCCTTGGGGGCCACCTTCATGTCCTTGCCAGGGGTTGTCCTGCTGTGGCCTGGGTTGCATTTCCTCTTGGCAGGTAATGAGGACTCCAGCCTGCAATGAGAAGGGTCCCAGGTTCCATGTCTGATACCCAGAAAGGCGGATCCCCCCCACTGTTGGCTGCAGTTTTTGTTTCCCCCCTTTGTTCCAGAATCTTCCTGCCTCTCACTTGGGGGCAGGAGGCCTTTGGGTGGCACTGGTGTGCACCAGGACCCAGCCCCAGCCTGGTAAGATCCAGAGATGGGGCCTGGGGGTCTGGGGGAGGGAGGCAGGGACTCTTCTGCAGTTCTCTATGTTCTCTGTCCCTGGCCTCAAACCCTCCTCCGGCAGTGTTAGTGAGACGCCTTAGTCTGTGAGGGTGGGTGGGGGCCTGGGGCCCCATATTCCTTCGTGTATCTTGGTTGGCCCAGCCCTGGCTGGGGCCTGTCTGCAGCAGGGGCAGGTAGGGCTGTGGGTTCCAGAACTCTGTTCCTGGGGCTCTCTCCAGTGTCCAGAGGCCTAAGAGACCTGCGTCCACTCCTCCACTCGCCCAGGAGCCGCTGGTCACTGGGACCTGGTTCCAGCGTTTGTGGTGGGGGGTTGGGGGAGGATGGCTCCAAGGGACAGGTGCTTTCTGTGGGTGGTGCTCCTCCTTTGCCCTGCCTAGGATTATCCTAGCATTTAAATAATTAAACAAGCCCTTTAAAAAAAAATATGAGTTCAGGTTACGTGATTGGAAATGGAGACTTTTTTTTTTTGAGATGGAGTCTCGCTCTGTCGCCCAGGCTGGAGTGCAGTGGTGCCACCTCAGCTCCCTGCAACCTCTGCCTCCCAGGTTCAGGCAATTCTCCTACCTCAGCCTCCTGAGTAACTGGGACTACAGGTACGTGCCACCATGCCCGGCTACTTTTTTGTATTTTTAGTAGAGACGGGGTTTCACCATGTTGGCCAAGATAGTCTGAATCTCCTGACCTCATGATCTACCCGCCTCAGCCTTGCAAAGTACTGGGATTACCCGCGTGAACCACCGTGCTTGGCTTATTTTTAAAGATTATGTATGTAAGACTGGGAGGTGGTGGCTCACCCCTATAATCCCAGCACTTTGGGAGGGTGAAGTGGGCAGATCACGCAAGGTCAGGAGTATGAGACCAGCCTGGCCAACATGGTGAAACCCCGTCTCTAATAAAAATACAAAAAACAAGGCTGAGGCTGAGGCAAGAGAATCTCTTGAACCCGGGAGGTGAAGGTTGCGGTGGGCGGAGATCATGTCACCGCACTCCAGCCTAGGCAACAAGAGTGAGACTCTGTCTAAAAAAAAAAAGTTACATGTGTAGCAGATACAACATATAGTAATATATACTCTTTATTATACATACATAGAAACAGATAGAAAGGAGTATTTAGACACAGCCTTTTATCCTACTAAACTGTTTTACAATAAATGCAATAATAGATTCTGAAAAACTGAGGAGCTGTTTAGTAGAAGAAAAACATCAAAAGACAATACACCTGTGATGAGTACTTAATTTCCAACTGTCTTTAGAATCCAACTTTCCAGATACAGTAGAAATATCAAGAGCCTGGATACGGTGCCTCATGCCTGTAATCCCAGCACTTTGGGAGGCCAAGTGGGTGGATCGCTTGAGGAGTTCGAGACCAGGCTGGTCAACATAGTGAAACCCTGTCTCTACTAACAGTACAAAAATTAGCTGGGCCTGGTGGCACATGTCTGTAATGCCAGCAACTTGAGAGGCTGAGGGAGGAGGAGAATGGCTTGAACCCGAAAGGTTGCAGTGAGCCAAGATCAGGCCAAACAGAACAGGACTCTGTGTCAAACAAATAAACAACAACAAAAAAATCAATAATTAATACTGTCTCTGTGATTCTGTTTCTAAAAAACTGAGAACAATTTATGGAGTAACAAGTGGACAGAGAATGCCCGGAATTTTGCAGATGAGCAAAACTTCCAATATTCTAATATGTTTCTGGTTATCAGGCCAAATTCTGGGCATGTCTGAGGCTATCTCATTCTGTAAAAGTGTATTTTTAAGATAAAAGTGTAGAAAAATGAAAGTGAAAGCTACCATCCACCCCTGGTGATGTAAGCCTAGAATCACAAGTGAGGAGTTCCAACTGACTGATAATCATTCTCAGAAATGCTTTAGTCTCATAGTTACCCGTATTTTTATGCACTTGGTCAAGGTCAGCCATGGGTTTATCAGTAAGCATTTTCATTAAGTTGCTGTTAACTCTCAGAATGCTTTTGCAATGCTGTTTTTAAAATTGAGAATTTTTAATGCACTCACCTCTATTGGCAATTTTTTTTTTAAATCACAAGTTTCCAGCCAGGCGCAGTGGCTCACATCTGTAATCTAAGTGCTTTGGGAGGCTAAGGTGGGACAACTACTTGAACCTAGGAGTTCAAGACTGGCCTGGGCAAAATAGTGAGGCTCGATCTCTACTAAAAAAAAAATTAGCCAGAAATTATGCCACGTGCCTATAGTCCCAGCTACGTGGGAGGCTCAGACAGGAGAATCACTTGAATCTGGGAGATTGAGGCTGCAAGTGAACTATGAACATGCCACGGTACTCCAGCCTGGGTGACAGAGTGGGACCCATCTCAAAAAAATAAAAAATCACAAGTTTCTGATCTTTGACAAGTTAGACTGGATAACCTTCAAAGTCCCTTAAGTTCTAACATTTCATGTTTTACTTCAGACCCAATTAGATTTCTGTGAACTCTATATTATAATTTCAAGTGTGATTTACATACTATTTACTTAGTCGCAAATTCAGAACAGGAAATAAAGACATTTTGATTCATTTGCTTGTTATTATTTATAGATCATGCAAAGTTTTCCAAAAGCATGTAAGTTTCTCTAAACTACATTACTATTAGCTTTAATTGCACAAACTAATACTTGACTATAATTTTAAGTTACGGGATTGCAGAGACTGTGCTTTAATTAAAAGATTATATAGTACATTGTTCTCAGGAGGCTGAGGCAGGAGGATCACTTGAGCCCAGGTGCTCAAGGCTGCAATGTGCTATGAACACTCCAGCCAGGGCAACTCAGTGAGACGATGCTTCAAAAAAATAAAAAATAAATTATAAAGTACATTTAAAAACACTGATATATTGGGGGAGTATTCCAAAACAAAGATAGAAAATCAGAAAGACAATAAAATGAAAGTGCTCATGTGCTGAAAAGGAATTTTTCCAATTTATTCAACAACTTGAATTCAAACACCTTTAGTAGTTTGGTTCTGGTAAGATTTTAATTATTTTTGATTTTGACAGCATACGTCACTATTATGCAAGAAAAATGTATAAAGATTAGAGATTTCAGTTTAATATCTTAATTAAAAATTTGCTTAAGTATTTTTAAATTTTGAAAATATCAAGTGATTAAGGTTGACGATCACAAAACTCTGAAACCCAATCTATTTAAAGTATACAGATAAGTAAAATAGTTCCATTTTGAACCCTTAAACGCTGATTTAGAACTGAGTTAAACTAGGAAAGAGTGCCACCTACTGAAGCAAAGTTGCTTAAGTTCATTTTATAAAACCTGAAAAGCTCTAGCATTTTTCTCAAATTTAAGAGAATCTTC